CGCAGAACTATCCTAATTCCATCTCTAGTTGCTTGTTTAGGGGCAATCCTCGTTATGCGGTTCAAAAAACACAAAATTACGTAGGTCTGAAGCAAAGATAGCAATAAAGGTTATTTTAAATGAAAATGCATTCGCTAAATGTAGCGATGCTGGCAGCGACGCTGGCCACCTTGTGCCTAACACTATGTTTGTGTACAATTGCGCTGAGCTCGACGACTAGTTGTTTTTCTAGCCCGTAAGTTACCCTTGTATTAGATCGGGTCGCATCACCCCTGTAGCCGTCGAAGCAGGTGACAATGATGCAACGCTGTCAGTCGTTCCTCCCATGGGCAAACGCAAGCACGGTGACGACAACAACCACACGCATGGACGAAACATTTTTAAATGGCAGCGCCCGACGAACGAGCCACAGTGTGGAGGGCATTGGTGTGGAGAGTAACTGCATTCTGGTGGGCCTATATATATGTAAAGAAACACACCTAATGAATGAGTACTGTAGCAAAAGAACGTTTGATATTGCGAAAATGCAATACTGTTCTCACTGCGGCAGTTTAGTACTCGACTAAGGCACGTTGCCGGGCTAGTTGGTTGGGATTCATCATTTTCACTGGTATAGCGCACCACGACAAGGACACACACAAAGGAGAGATTCACACACACACAGCGCTAACTTGCAACTAATGTTTTATTTGCGATCACACACGCTGTTTATACAACAGGAGACGGATAAAACATGGATAATGTCACGTCAAAAATACAGCACAGCCCATGCACGTGTCATCACTGATAGCGACAATCTACACTAGCTCGTCAAAGCGAAAATTCCAGATACTTCTTTTCTTTAGATGATAATGCTATGGAAGCCACACTCACACATTTTTCTTTCATTTTGTCTATTTCAAAAGCTTCAATAATTTCACGTGTGGTTCTGTCACGGGCCTTAAAGAGTATACGGGTGTTTTGGAACATAGGGACGCAACCGCACCTCTGACAGTGAAGGGCCAAATGACCACATACAGCTCTTTCTACATTGTACTTGTGCTCCTTTAGTCTTTCATTCACACACCTTCCAGATTGGCCTATGTATTCGCAACCGCAAGTCAAAGGAGTGCTATAGACAACACCACAACAACAATTCACAAATTTCTCCCGGTGCTTAATCTTACAAACCTGTTTCCCGCTACTCTCTGCATTGACCTTTTTGCACATTACTTGCAACTTTTCGGGAGCAGAATTAGTACTCGAATTTTTTTTTCTGACCTGCCGACACTGGGAACGGGAGTACCTCGTTCCGCTGCAAAAGATCGTCGAACGTCCTTTGTGAAATGCGCCGTTTACGTTCGTTTGCGTAAGGGTGGCCGCGTGACAAGGGCCGCATCTCCCTTGTCATAATGACGAGGGAGTTAAACGGTGTTCGCGGGTGCCCGTGTGACAGGGGTATAGCCACTAGACCGCCGTGGCGGGGCAATGTCGGCATTGCCAGACGCAAAAATGCAAATTACTGTAAAAAAGCCACAAACAAAGCTTCGCTGTCAGAGGCCCTTAAAATGCGTCTCCTTCGGAATGTTCACGGCCGAGTGTCTGACGTCAGCTTTTGTATTCATATACAACAGTCAAGAAAGGAGGTTATACTTCCCTCTATTGAAAAGGCCTACGTCTGCTGGTAGAATTTAGCCGGTCGCTTGAGCACGCTGAAATGCATGCACAGTGGTCACTGCGTTCTGTGGGTGGCTAAACTCCGCAATTAACGACCAAGCACTTGAGAAGCAGCCGTCAAACGTTCAGTTGATCACGTGGTACCACAGCCGTGACGCACCGAGCAAAAGTCATTGCGATGCCTGTCTGTCTGCAGCGAATTACATGACGTGATCACGTGGCCTGTCACACTTGGAATCATGTGGCTCTAGACCTTTCGAGGCGACGAATGACCTTGAGGACGTAGTGTATAATAGAGCTTTCGTTCTAAAAGCTTTCTACATTAGAAAAGCTCGTAGGGCCACTTTGAATACATCATTGAAGGCGACATTGGAACGGTGAGAAGCGCTTATGAGCAAACCTTCAACTGGCCCTGCAACACTTTTCCAAATAATCATTGAATGACCTCATTATTGGAGTTGATTGCCACACGAATGGACTACCACAATTTTTTTTCGAATCCGATGAATGCGAGCGCTGTTACAGGATTCTTTTCGAACTCTCAGCGCTTTCTTTCTCATTTCGTCCAAGGGAGCGCGTTAAATGTAGTTCTATAGAGCGTTGCCACATAGCTAGCATTGCCCCTAGCTGTGACGGCACCCAATGGCGGCACCCAACGCTATGACGGCATTCATTAGGGGTGGCCCTATGGCGGCACCCCTATTGGACGATTATTCAGCGGTTGGCAAAGCTGTACTATCACAAATATTAAGACTTTTTGCATTTACTGTCGTAGATGTAGGTCCACCCCATGGTTGTGTGGAATAATTTGTATATGTGATAAAGCTTATGCTTTCTGTATTTTCAAGAATGTCATGAATATTTATATAATGTAGAAGGTTGTTTTTGGTGTATTTTGGGGCTCCCTGAACAGATTTTTTAAATGGGCTTCTCGTAGCTGCACCGTTTCAACACCAATTGGAATTCATGTAACGTTTTATGTAACGACAGTTCTGCAAGAATCAGAAAGCTCCACTTTGGATGCTAGAGGTTATGCTGGAGGTGCTTACCCCAGGAATATTTTTTATAACCATGTAGGTAGCACCTGTTGGCAGTCCATGTAGTTGTAAAGAAAGCACTCAATAACGAATGGTGACGACGTAAAGCGCTGCGTCCAGTCAGAATTTCGTATTTTTCTCTGTCGCTTAAGCTGTTTTTACAAGCAGCTCAGATTTTTCTATGAAACCGAAGTCACTTCTGGGCAAGATGAAAGCGCATGCTTCGTGTGGCATAACCTAGTGAGTCGAGAACTGAGGCTTTGGCTCTTTAATGTGTGACATACAGTGAAGAGACGAAAGGGATCATTATATCTCCTTACGGCGCCAAATAGGGTGGCAGTCCCTGAAACAGGGAAATCCCTAATGGCTTTCAGACCTCTCGCGATGTGATAGAGTGCGGCACACAATATTTTTACGGAGACGCTGATATCAACAGCCGTATTAAACTACGTAGACGAATGATACAAACGTTCGATATCCAAGGCATCGGCTCAACAGGAAGATGACAACGTGAGGAATATTTTCTATAGCAGAAGCGGATTCTTCTGAGGTGACTTTGGTCGTTCGTAAACACATATACGTGCCAGTGCTGTAGCTCCTAATCATTAATATTAATATGTGGGGATTTACATCCTCAAACAAGGATATAATTATGTGACACGCCGTAGAGAGGCGTTCCGGAAATTTCAACAATCTGGTGTTCCTTAACGTGCACCGACAATTCTTGGTACACGGGCCTCTACCATTTTGCCTCCATCGAAATGCGACTAAGGCGACAAGGATCGAACCCGTGACCTTAGGTCAAACGCCGAGCACAGTAGCCCCTGTTTCACCTAGGCGGGCTAGCTCATAATCAATGCATGAGCATAAAACCGTCCTGAATGGAGCACATAGCCAATCATTTCTTAAAATATTACGTTGTACAGGATAACTCTGTGCACAAGATAACCCCGTGCACAAATTGCACAAGTTAGTGGACAAGAACGTACTTTGAGATCTAGCGTGTGGAGACTGAAGACAGCAGTCAAAAGCTCCACGTTATCCTTCTTGTTTTGCTCTTGATGTAGACGTTGTTGGCCAGTGCAGTTTTTAAATGACTTCCAAGCAGGGACGTAGGCAGAAATTTGTTTCGGCAAAGGCAGGTCTTTGATCTGAAAGGAGGACCATGCAGGCAAGTGTGGTCGTGTCACTATGAGCTCTGTATACCACGACGAAAAAAATTTTTCGAGGAAAGAGGGGGGCATCATGCAAGTGCCAGGTGTGCCACCTCCCCCCCGGCTACGCCATTATTGCATGGTCTTCTTGCTCCCAAGAAAAAAGTGGAAAAATGAAATGAATATATTTCGTTTTACGTTCTGAGACCATGATATTGTTATAAGGAACGCCGTAGTGAAAGAGTCCAAAAATTTTTAATGATTCGTTTTTTTAACGTGCACTCAAATCACACAGTACATGGGCCTCAACCATTTCGGCTACATCTAAATGCGAGTGCCGTGCCCTTCGGATCAGCAGCCGAGCACCGTAAGCGCTAAACCACTGCGGAGGACAAGGTGAAACAATTCAATGCACCTAGTTAGTGCCCGGAAGATATAATGGGAACACAGGTGGAACACATTTTCCACTTTTCATTTGCGCACCCGCATCGATCGTATTTAACACCGCGTGCTGATACTCAGAGCGACAGTTTGTATATTGTGTGGAACCTACGGTCACCTTAAAGCTCAAATATTGTGCGTAATGGGCAGCATAGTTTTGCGAGATTGGAAGTGTAATTGTGCCACGGCCACGTGGCATAGCTCTGAAAATACGCGGATACTCCCATATGGTTGGTGCCATGTCAGGGGCCCTGCAAATGAAGGCTCGAATCTCCCCCTCTGTGTTGATATCAGGCCACTCCAATATAGTTTGCATCACCTCTTTTGGCAATAAGCATGCTTTCACTCTGAAAAATCAGACATTTCAAACTAAAGTACAATTAATTTACTTGAGCGAACTGCACATGAGTGTTACAGGTTGTAGGAAGTAGCCTTAACTAACTATGCCGTGAGGCAAGCGTGCCTACGTGAATATAGATGTATATCCCTTACAGAATTCAGCTTTAGTTCAGATATGGGGTTACCCTCGGTCAGTCATCTGTTTCAGTGGGCTATATTGGCCTGACCGTAACGTGCATTACTGTGCCATTTGAGTAAAAGCGCTCAAGCTTCCCATTTAGCACGTGCTTTGAATGTCCTGTGCACTGTTATGTACTTGCTTACGAAGAGATGTTTCGAAACGCCTTGGAATAGAATGGTAAACGTTTTCCAGGTACCGCTGTGGCATAGGATATCTTCCTAGAGATATCAAAACTTGGAATGCTACTTGCCGGATGAATAGCAACGGGTCACTGTACTGGGAGATCGAGAAGTATGACTGCAGACGTGAGTAAAATGTAGAATGTGTTCTTCTTTTGCCATTTTCCCGCCTCGTATGCTGTGAGCTGTGCCGTGACCAAGGACTGAGGATGTTAAGGTCGAGAAACCCCCGTCGATACGGGCGTGCGTGGGTGAAAAGATATTGTCACAAATATAAATTTCGCCAATGAAGGCGATTACGTAGCAACGCTTTATGGCATAGAAAATGAAGTGGGCCACCGGATTCGCTGTGGCATGCCACCAGATGGAAGAAACACACGTGATTGGTTTTCTTGTCAACGAAAGTAGCAAATTATTTAAGTTGTCAGTCGTGAGATGTCGCTCGCATTGTATATCCTGTGCGGGCCCATTACTTTGCCTGGTTTCTGCAAATAGTGGAGTGACACTCCAAAAAAACCTGGCAGTAGCGAAGTCGAAGGGAGAATTTAATTTACTTCGTTATAGCAATCACTTAATTACAAATATTGTTTTCATCTTTCTCATTCATGTAATCAGGAAAAAACAAAGGATCCAGCTTAGACAAAGTCCTACATGCTTGAGCGTTGATAAGCAAATAAATTCGTTGTAGTCTTCTGCTAAGTACTTCTGAGAACCGTGTTCTCAAACTTATGCTAACTAGCAAGCTGCAATTACGAAATTTGGTCCAGTGAAGATGATGTAGAGAAAGGTGGGTGGACTTCAAAAAATTGTTCTCTAACATCTCCGCTCAGGTCTATAGGCTTTTCCGTATCTCATATATAGGTTATTTCTTAATCGATAGTGACCTCCGGAATCACTGAAATGGAAACTCTGATTCTCAATTATAGTTTTTACGGCGGAGCTCTTTAGGTTTCAGATTCTGCCAGCTGTCGTTTCAGAAAGGTCGGCGGAACCATGTCATGGAAAACGGGTATGTGCCAAGCACCTAGCATAACAAGGGAGGTGCGAGATGGAAACGAGAATCAGTAGGAATGAAGTAAAGGTGAAGAGGGACAAAAAGGATGGCGATTGGATAAAACGGGCGAGGGGATCACAGAGCTTCACTGAAGTGACAGCCATGTTCTAACCTTTCTTTTCACTGCACAGAATGCGGCTGCGCGCTTGTTCGCTGATACGACAGTGCAATCTAGATTCATAGATAAAGTAGCTAGTGAAATTGAAGAAGCAAATCTCATCAACAAAGCAGACGATGCATGTGTCGTGAAACCCTCGCTCACGTTACTTGTCGCAGAGTTAGACTTCTTGGGAGCGTGTTATTGCGACAATATCTGTCTGCTCATGGTTTTTTTTACACGTGTACATGAAATCCCACATATACATGTTTGTTGTTTCAAGGTGTATGGCGATATGCTCTGTTGCCACTGTTGCCTGCAGTACATCAACACCGTCATCGTGCGTGCTGTTGAAGTGATGCGACAAATACACTGTTTCCAGCGGCACGCAAACTGTGTGAGATCACTACTATTCGTTCGCGCATACAGACATAAAGAATAATTACATAAAGACGAAGAGAATGGAAGTGTTTTATTCGTCATTCAAGTAGAAACAATATGGCCCTTGTCGATCAGCAGCGTTACTTTGCATACCACCAACTATAAATGGGAAAATCTGTGGAAGACATCAGTGCTTAAACTTAGACCACATACTTAATTTTAAAGATGGTTGCATAAAATACCATAACGTTTTCTGAAACTGACCCAAGTATAATTGCTGCTAAAATTTTCTAAAAGGCGGTGACTTTCGGACACTGCAATATATACGCTTGTGGTCAAACGTGCAGGTTTCCCATTGTGCCACGGCGCCACCCATCATTGTGACGAAGCGTGAGGTACAAAGAAAAATGAATCCGTGTCATTTTTAATTAAATATAGAGTATTGTTTGTGCAATGTTCCTTCGAACATTATGCTACATGTTTGGGGCTAATTGCAGACATCAATTGGGCTTGTTGAGGTACACGCACAAAGGGTAGGCGAGCTTGCTTGAACGATATCCTTGGCCGGCGAAGTAACGCCTGCGTTTGTGTTCTTGCAGTGGTGTCATGCGGTCACCCAGGAGACATCCGCTGGGGTCGCCTTCTGGACGCGGTCTTCGTGTTCTCGAAGGAAGTGCGGTACGAGTGCAACAAAGGCTACAGGATGATCGGAAATGCCCAACTGTACTGTCAAACTGACGGCACCTGGAGTGGTGTGAAGCCTGAGTGTCAAAGTGAGTATGCCTACCACGCGCGAGAACTTGACTGACAACACCACGCCAGAATGGTAACGTGCATTCGCGGGTGAAAACTGCGGTCAGTACAGCAGATAAGCCAGTAAGATAGAAGTGTTTATTTGAATTGTCGACGTGCTTTAACTAATGAAGCGGCGCCCTTGCCTGCGCTCAGGGTGGCTGATACAAAACGGCACATGCTTCGCTGCTCCACCACTGTACCCGCACGACGTCACTTTATCACAAAAACATCTCGTACTTTGAAACTCTGACGTCGCTACAGTCCTCGTAGTGGCAGAATATTCACAATGTGGCGGGATCGTCTCATTTCAGTCACGTTATACTCGAATGTATTTAATCAAATTGACCATGCTATTTGCAATGCCCCGCAGTATTCCTATAATACATAGGTATTGCTAATACACGGAACAGTATTGCTCCGATTCATTCAGACGCGCAGGGGTAATAGTTATATGCTTTGCATTGATTTTAAAAGCAGAGCTTTTTAATCTTGGGAAAACTCCGAGCCGCATCCGCAAGAAATTACCATAATGTAAAGCAACTCCTTCCCTTTGTCCATTTCTTCATGTCCCACTCGAAGAACGCAGCACACATAAAGAAGGGATCACATTGGCAGCAAACACCAGTTAAGATTTCTGCACAGATGTAACCTCTCATTCGCGAATATTTTTAATGAATTGTCTGGATAAACCCAGTGGTACACTCCGGGGCCATACGTTTGAGCAGCGTCAGCGTATATCCGCAGGCATGCCCTTTTCGGCAGCCATGGTGGGGTTAGTGGCTTTATTGCATTAGCGTCTGAAATCATGTGGTATTTTTCTTTGAGTAAGCGAAAATTTCTATTCCAGCTTTCAGGGATCCAAGCTTGAACGACCACATCTTGGTTGATCATCAACCTTTTTGAATTCATTATGCAATATTACCAGTCCAAAATAGAGCTACAAGCTAATTAGCGTGCCACTATGTTCCTATGTTTTCCTACTATGTTTTTTCATCGTCCAACTTACAATTGAAAAACTCGGTGCAGCATGTGAAAGTGGTCAAAACGCGTCAAGCTTTGACCGCACGGGCACAAATTGATCTGATGACGCCAATGAGATTGTGTTTAGGTCAGTTTCGTGATGTTATTCGGCGTCGTTTTCACCGTTTGCGCAGGTATTAGCCTGTGAAAATTTAAATTAGCAATGTTCGAATTCTGTCTTGCTGATATTAGTGAATTCCCGTTGATATAAAATTTTTTTAAACGGGGAGATGAAAACAGGAATCACTCAGCTGGGGTGAAAATCTATAGAGCTCGCTTCTACTGAATTCACGCAAATGTGATCACATTAGAAGCGCTTTCAGCCCGGCGTCAACGCAAATCCGTTCAGCGTCGGTGGTACGTATACACCCATAAATGTGACCAACGTTACGACTAAAATATCAGCAAAGTGTCTCCAGCGGATCCTCGCTTTAAAGCATCTATGACTGCGTTCGAAGGGAGATGAGAATCAGTCGCTTATTTTTCAGCAATTTTTATTTTTTACTGTTACGGGTCTTCCACGAGGACGAAATTGTGCAGTGGGCACTTGTGGTATTGGCGACTGTAAGTGGCTCATGCTGTAGGGAACGTAGAATTGCGAAGTGAAATTATTCGTTGCGAAACATGACCTGATTGGCCCAGATGTCACTGAAGTTTTTGTTGCCTGTTGCAGTCGTGGATTGTGGACCTCTTGAAGGAATCCCCAACGGCACTGTTACACTACACAGCACTCAATACGGCTCCACGGCTGAGTTTACATGCGACTATGGCTTCAAAATTATAGGTACGAGCGCACGTACCTGTGAAGCTGATGGGCAGTGGACTGATGAATATCCACATTGTGAAGGTATGTGTCTATTTCATATAAGCTTTACGTGCTCCAATCAGTGCAGTTCGGGGCACCAACATCAAACTGGATGTTTGCCCTTGTTTTCGTGCAGTTTTTAACTAAATATTAAGATAAGTATAACACCAGTCAAAAGTATCCTTATGTGTTAGCTGTAATTACAATCAGTGTACTATTTCAAAGTACAGCAGCGCGGAAAATGGCACCCGGACGGAACATGACAGGGGTGAGCACTCGTCCTTGTCGCCTTGTTCCCAAGCGCGCGCACACAGACACGAACGAAAGTATACAGCTGAACTAGAATAGAAGGCGGATAGTAAGGAAAACACGAAATCCAGTTTGCAGATTGCCGTATTGTATAACAGCTCATCAAATCATTTCACGTTTATGAAATTAAACAGGTCTATTTTTACTTCTTTGCCGTATGAAGATTCATTTGATGATCACAGCTGGTTTTTGAGCAGCAGAGCGCTGTCTATTCTTTTCGCTACATTTTCAAGATTCTTTCATATTTCCGAAATTGAAGGTAGCAAACTTATTATATTCAGATATAGAAACGAAGTACGTCTTAAGGCATGTCTTATGATATACTGCCAGTGACTGCGGTACACACTTACCAGTCGTACTACTTACCAGACGGTACCAAACAGCTTTGTCCCGTGGCAGTGGCCTATAGTGCCTAAGGTACTCGGCTTTTGACCCGCGAGAGTCTCCTCAATTTGACCATCGTATTCCTCCGTCGTACAGAGCGTGGTGTTATTTGCGTAGAGGGTGTATCGCAAGCCGGGTATCGTGTCAAGTTCGGGAAGTAGTGACCTCATAGCGAGGTTGAAAAGAAAAAAAAGGGGACAAAACGGATCCTTGCGGAGTGCCGCGATCACCGAAAGTGATGAGCTTAGAACGGAGGCTACTCACTGAGAGTTCAACCGTTCGATCAGGTAAGAAAGCACGCATGTAGTTATATATGCGTTCCCCGGGTCGTAGTTTAGACAGACTGCCTAAAATGGTACTATGCATCACGTTGCCAAATGCTTTGTGAAGGCCCAGATCGAGCAAAGCCTTGGTACTATTGCCACTCCCAGGTCGTAGGAGATCGTGGTGCAACTGGATGGGCGCTTCCGAAGTGGATATGTGGGCCCTGAAGCCCAGTATCGTGGGGGAAGTAGGCGGTGCTCTTCCACGAAATTTTGCAAGCGACAGAGCACAACATGCTGCATTAGTTTGCCCAGGCAGAAGGTCAACGAGGTTGGGCCAAGATTCTCCATGTCAAGTTTCTTGCTCAGTTTTAGTATAAACGCGACCATCGCGTGTTTCCATTCTGGTGGTAAATGGCCGGACCTCCAGCACTCATTCAAATATTTAGTATTGGCCCCTACCGACTTTGAATTGAGGTGGCGCAGCGTCTTATTTGTCACCCCATCAGGACTGGGTGCCGATGTTGTGCGCAGTTTATGTAGTGCTACGCAAACCTCACTTTCCGAAATGTCGCCGTCCAACTGCTCGTTGGCGGTTCCAGTGTATTCGGGCAACTGCTCTGTGCCACTCTCTTTTTGACATGTGTGGACGTAGCGGCGGGTGATAAGATTCTCCAGCAGATCTTCGTCGGTACCCAGGTTTTGATGGACAGTTCGCGCAAGCTGTTTGCGTGCCGCCGACTTGGAGCTACCAGGGTTCAGTAGGTGTCGCAGAGGATGCCGTGTTTGCTTACAGCCCACCTGACCATTGAGGCTGCCGCAAAGTTGGCCCCACTGTTGGCGTGTTAGCACAGCGGATGCGAGAGTTAAACCACCGAGAAAGAGCCTAAAATGTTTCTCCTACAAAGGACGGCAACAGCAGCTTCGCGTGAGAAAGCAGAATCAAATTAGCCTATTTACTGTTAGTCCAGGTTGCAATTCGAAAAAGTGAAAAAGTGTGTGCCCAAGGCATAAACACCACCACTAGTTTGTACGCAGTGTCACCATTTGTAATAAGAGACGCCGCAGAATTTTGACTTGTTAGGCACGTGAACGCCAAAGCACGAACGGTGGCGCCAGCCCTTCCGTAGGCAGGAGTCGTGGGAGGGGCGTTACAGTTGAGCCACTGTACTGAAAGTGTGAGCGCTGCAATCGCTTTGACGTACAGGGTTGAATGACGTGATCTCGCTTCGCTCTGCTGAAGGAAAACTAGCCTTTGGATGCGTTTTTTATTGATTGATTGATTTGTGGGGTTTAACGTCCCAAAACCACCATAATTATGAAGACGCCGTAGTGGAGGGCTCCGAAAATTTTGATCACCTGGGGTTCTTTAACGTGCACCCAAATCTGAGTACACGGGCCTACAACATTTCCGCCTCCATCGGAAATGAAGCCGCCAAAACCGGGATTTGATCCCGCGACCTGCGGGTCAGTAGCCGAGTACCTTAGCCACTAGACCGCCGTGGCGGGGCATGCGGTTTTTTTTTTTTTACCATGACTTCATGGCGTTTTCTTTTTTTAGCAGTGTTGTATTCCTCTAACACGGCGGCTGGATTGAAAAGCCAAACCCGTGCGAATTCTCATCCAGCGGCCGTGGCTCTTACTTTATGTGTGTGGAATTTTGCAGACAAACAGATAAATGTACAGACAGACATACCAAAATTTTTGCGTCGAAGTACTCCAAGACAAACTATCGTCTTTATTAATAAAAAAAGGCGACGCGACAGCAGCTGCGCGTAAGAGGGCGGTAGAGCAATACAACAACGTACGTCATAGGCATGTCTCCGCATGGTGACGCCACGGTATGTCCTAGCGCCCAATAAAGGAGGCCATCCATTGGCTTCTGGAGATTACCGCCAGAAGCCGCTCGTCTCACGCAGCATAGAGTTACTCTATATACAGAAACTCTAACGCAGCGCTGCCAGAATCCTATTCACCAATGTTTTCGCACGAAACACCAAGCAAATGTTTTATTCTGTTCACTCTCTCCAGACGGAAGACTATCGTCTCTTGACATTTGCAGTTTAGCATGCAGATACGGGCCCATTATTTTTTTCTTCGCAATCTGTTAAAATATACTTCACAACGTCATAACCGTGACAAAAATACGTCAGCGGAGCCGTGGTGGTCCCCGGCATAAAACACTTTCGGGTTAATATTTACGCACAAAGACCAACAAATTTGAGGCATTACGAATTGAGGCATTACTTTGCACGGAATATGCAATGAGCCAGAATGCACTGGATCGTTAGGAGCCGGGCTTGACGGTGGTACTTCTGATGCGAACAACGGGCTCATCACTGAATCAAGTTTGTTAGCTGCCGAATGTTCCTTGGTGGCCACAGAGGCCACTGAAGGCCTCAGTGATGGTGACGAAGGGCTGTGCTCGCAGTGTCTTGATGATACAGAAAGGTCATCTATATTTGACTTGGCACAGTCCCCGTGTTTGTTCCTCGCCATGACAGCTAACAGTGATGTAGTTCGAAATACTACCGACCCGACTGGCGAGAACCCCTGCATGAACAGCAGGTCAGAGCAGTGTGCTGAAGCACATTGTTGACGGAGCAGAGCAGGTGAAGTTAGCTTGCCAAAATGCGAGCTACGTAACTTTGACAAAGGTAACTCCATTGCACACGAGTCGAGTAAGCTGTCCGCCAGTCGAGGTATCAGCAATTTCAGTACAAACCATACCGATTGTGCGGACAATAAAGCCATTGAGCCCGTTATTCCATGTTCTGCTCGGACACTGATTCTAGCAGATATTGTAAAAGTGAGCACGACAAAATGTGCTAAAAAAGAGACACCGCAAGGGCAAGACAGAAGTAAAGAATGCAGGACAGCCCAGGGAAACACGAATTGACAAGCGGAAAACAACGCCACGAAGGATTTGTTTGCGCTTTGTGGCAATTGAGAATCGAGCGTGCTCCAAACTGCCCGATGGGTAGAAAGATGAGGCAGGCATTTGTTCGTGGAGCCAAGAAAAGCCAACCCCCATCCATGCTCGAAGCGCGTCCTGCTCGAAGCGCGTGGTGCATGGCGAAGCAGCGCCTTTAGGCCGAGCGACACGACGTGAGACCCGTTTTCGTAGAACGAGGCATAGATGAAGGCATGCCTTTGAGGTGCAGACTAACGGAAAAAAAAACGTTTGCGTAGTGGCCGTCCACTGTTTTGTCTGCCCTGGTTGCTTTGAACGGCTCCTCCAAAAAGCGCGACCACCTCGAGCGCGGATAAAGGTTATGTACATTGAAACGTCAGCGTAACCTTAAAGGCAAATGATTTATTTTTAAAACAATTTTCAGTTCTGTCTTTCGATTTTGGAGCTTTTGATAAATGTGGGGACAAATAACTTATTTATTCTATTGATTTTATTGTGTCGTCTGTGTGTTTGTAGACGTTGTTCCGTTCTTCCAACTGGCTATACCTTTAGTTAGGGAAGCTCTACTTTAGGGACATTGGTATTTTAATTAGTTGGTATTTTTTAAAGAGATTGGTTGGTCATATAATCGAAGTCCATCACGGCACACGTACGTGCTAAATATGACGTGGTGTGCTTGAAAGCTTCTTTTGTTTCCCAATGGGGCACATTAGTACAGCGGGGGGGAATGAAACTGCGCTCAAATGGGCATCCAGATTTTTTATTTGTTTTCCCTTCGATCGTTTCATAACGCCTCAATGATTGAGTCTTGTATACCGCTTAGTGCGAGTATTTTTGAAAATATGTGGCATCAAAGAATGAATACTCACGTGCCCTTACCTTTGGAGTGCGCGCTATTTTTGTCGTTTCTTTTGCAAGTGTGTGACCATGGCCTGGTGTGTGAGATATGACTTTCGTCATATATAGACGGTGAAGTGGTGTGCGCCTTGGATTCTGTGCGAGCGGTATCACCCATATCGGCGAAATAGTGCTTGAAAAAAAAACGCGTTGCTGGATGACCGGAATACCGAAAACTCGAACAGTGCACGTTTGTGACTTCCTTGAATATTACGCAGCAATATTCTTGAGTAGGGGGCTTCACCCGAAGTGTGTAACAGTAGGAATTACCGTCT